TATGATTTAGCTTTTAACCATAAAGTTTAGGGGAATCATCTGTATTATCAGCTTTAATCACATAAAGCTCTGTTTTGAAAATATGACTCACTAGTGGGTAGAATTTTCCCAAATTGCTTAAAAGATTAATAAAATAATCAACTTAGCAGTGGGGAGAAAAACCACAAACTGTTCCTGCAAGGAAAACACTTTATTGCCTATACGTGTGAATGAGCTGTTTTAATACTCAGGTTCACTGCCTCCTCTGCATTTATCTTTTCTCTTTTATGTCGTACTCCTGATTATTTTTTTTTAAAGACTTTCAGGCTTTTTTAAAATTAATTATACAAATCATTAGTATTGAAAAGGTAATATAATGGTTTCAAGAACAAGCTTCACAGACTATCTGCATATTTAATCATCTCTGCTAATAAATTTTTAATCACTCATTGAGTTCAGGTTCTTGTCTTGAAGCTTAACTTGATAACAAACCTAGCAACTGGTAGAACTAATTGGTACAGAATAAGTGAATAATTTATAAGAGGAAAAGCACTGGGTGTTCTGGAGGTGTGCAGAGACTGCAAGTCACAGATATTTCTAGGAGGAAGCAGGAAAACAGCGGCTGATTACAGAAATTTCGTGATACGCTGCTGACATCCAGAGGCCAACAGTCAATACTGTTCACATATGTGAACCAGGCTATAAAGCACTGTAAAGCCAGATTCATTAAGTTTTAAATATTCATGCATTTCATTAAAGTTAACATTAATTGCACTACTATACACATTGATTATGCATAGACCATAAGTGTTTAACCTATGAAAGCGTGCAAGTATATTCAAGTAATGGGGTACGTCCCATCTTCAATGATTTCAGTGAAAGCTTCAGTGACAAAATTGAAATTAGAAATGGAAGGCATTACAGTGCTAAGGAAGAGCAGCTTGAAATATTAGAACAGTAATAAAAATAATTATTTTACTAACCAAACAGAAATGCTGATGTAAGCTGTAAGTTGCTTTGTATTTTTCTGAAGTAAAGTAATAAAGGTAACAAAAATTATGTATAAGATTTCTTACTGACAAATGCTAGACTGATTTGCAAGCTACATCTATTACACAAGTTTAAACAGTTAAAATAAATTAATTGGTGGCTTCCATTTAGATGAAGGTGACTAGCTTTAAACAATCTAACAACAAAAAAAGGCTATTCTCTTGAAATAAACTGATTTATGTCCTAAAATTAGACAATCAAACTCACTTAGACTACAGAATCATTCTACCCCCAGGGAAGCACAAAACGTTACAATTCTTAAACCAGGATGTAACAGACAACATTTGACAGAAATTCAATTATCCTTGAAAGATACCACTTGTAGTTAGTTACATATGTAATCCTTTTTTATTTAATGGGTTAAAGCTCTCTTTCAAAACATTTAGTTTCTTGAAGACTTGCTACATGTCAAAAAATTCATTAAGTGACTTAATAAGATTGTTAAGTAAAAACACTCAGAAGTTAAAAAATGTCATTTAATGCTGCCCATGCAACCTTAATGCTGGCCGTGTATGTATATGCATTATGAAACACCAGTGAATTAACTTTTAATCTCCTTTGAGCCAAAAAGATTTTAAGATTGTAGACTAAGGCACAAAGGGCATGCCAACAAATACAACGCTGAGCTTCAGAGCAATCTCTGAACTAGCTCACAGCTTGCAGAGCATACCCCTGCCAGGCTAATTACCCCAGACAGAAAGATGGGCTTGTACAGCTCCACAGCTTCTGGTACCTCTGCATAGCAGGCTTAGCGCTCTGCTCCTGGCACTGCACTGCACTACACAGATACACTCACAGAAGCGTAAAATTTTAAATCTGAAGAATGTATGAAGCGTTTTTCAAATACCGTGCTTCAAACCTAGGTGCTTTGACACCAATTTTCCATCAAGAAGTTTAAGACGTCAATTCTGACCTCTTCAAGTAAAGACATATCACTTCCTTATGTATTAAAAAAAAAACCCTCTGCAAACAATACTAATTTCAGTATTTTTTTTAAAAAAAGTCAGTCCTTAAATCCTCTATGAGGGAGATATAAAATTGTCCACATTTTGTACAGAAGGAAACCATTGGAGACAGATAGACTGGTTTGCCTAAAATAGTACTGATCTCTCCTTCAGCTGTTACCAACTCCTGATTAGCCAATTTTCATTGTGAAGGTGGGCACCAAAGAAGTGTAGTATTTCTAATTAGAAGCCACAGTTAACACACTGAAATTCTGTTTAAACAGCATTGTCTAAACCCTCAGAGATCTTTATGGTCAGACACATCCTGGGTGGTATCATGAAAAATCTCACCATTTTTCTGATAAGAAAATACTGGTTGCTAGCCAGGATCTCGCAAGTCATATATCAACCACCTGTACCATTTAGCATGTTTTAAAGTAGTCTGGGATATCAAATAGTTGTGTTTTGTTTGTTTTGGGGTTTTTGTTTGGTTAGTTTTTTTTGGTTTTGCACCTGAAGACTACCTCCTTCATGCTTCTTCCTTCAGTAATCTTTAAACAAGGAGGTACCCTGTTAAGTCATTTAAACACCAAAATAGATTTTATTAGTTTTGCTGGTTTGGTTGTTATGGCATAGTCACGAACAACCATACAGTCCACAAAAGGTATGCACATTTGTAAAGAAAATATTTTGTATTCTCTGCAAGATTTCAGTTTAGATTTTAATAGAGCGAGCTGTCAAACTGCAGGAGTCAACTTTACAGCGTAGCAATGCTTTGAATACTTGCCAGTTAGAAACTTTCAAATGTCCCAAACCCATTCTCATTAAGCAATACTTTGTTTTACTTCAGGTTTTTTGATGCTGGTTTTGTTTTTTTTTCAATTTCACTTGTGAAAAAAAACTTGAAAAAGCAGGCAAAGATGCTTGATCATTGATGTCTCTCCACCACACAATATAATCCCCACATTCTCTTTTCTTTTTCGGTAGGCCCAAAGGTGACAGGTACTCACCCACTGAGCATTTAGCTTCTCTACTAAGCATAGTAGCAAATACACAAATACAAACAAAAATTATTGCAAAGCTTTCACGTGTCCAGGTAGAAATGGACTATAGTAGACAATTCGTTGTTTGTCAGATGACGATCAAAAAACTAGGGATGCAGAGGAGAATGCTTCTCCTTATTCTGTACCAATCTCTGAAATAATACTAGGCCTGAGAAGTATCACATTATTAAACTAAATCTGAAGAGGTTTTAATTAAAACTATATTTTTGTAATTACAATTTGAAATTATATTTGAGGTTTAAGAGTTAAATTTATTAGACTGTGAAGAGTTATACAAGGCATTCCTAATGTAATGAGCTTAGGCACCACGTATGTTGCATCTTTGGTACACGTTATGAAGAGTTGCTTTTTTAATGAGCTTTAAAAACTGTATTTGCATACCAGAGGAAAAGGGTCAGTGATGTGTGGATCCAGTCAGTAAATTAAGTATCACAGTATTATGTTATTACAATTGCCTTCCACAGACACACAATAACAAAATGACAGGCTATAGTTATCATGCTATCCTAATGCTCCCACCCACACGACCTTGTTGGCTTATGCACACTGGCACTGCTGCATCCCCCGTCCCATCTTACTCCGTCCCTTGCCCAGGCCTCCTACACCTTCTCTCCCCACCAGCTCCTACAGCAGAACAGCTGGTATGTCGGACAGTCAGAGAATCAAAGCAAGCAAGGGAAGGAGGGGCCGATTCAGCGTGATAGACCATGTCCAAGCGCTACCTTGCACTCCAGCCTTTACCCCAAGTAAAGATACCCAGGGCCAGATCCTGCACCCTCTTAACAAGACCAAACCTACTGGACAGCAAAGCATCAGGACAGGGATGCCTCTTTCAATCCAAGCCGCTTTCCACTGGAGCTTTTGTTCAAGGATGCAGCAGTATCATCTCTCTTCCAAAACACAGACAGCAAAAGTGTTTCTAACAGTATGGTCCAAAATTTGACTCAGTCTACCAGAATAGTTCTTTGTAGTTGGAATGTTAGGTGTTTGGTAATCTCTACAGACTGGCGGACTGGTAGCTATATTGAAATTTTTATTCTGTGACAAATAATAAAATAAACTAGGAACTGACTGAAAATACTCCTACCAGGTTTTCAGCAAAGAGTGAAGTTCACTGGATTTATCTTTTTTTAAATATTGTAAATATTTGTAAATATTGCAAATTTGTGCATATTATAACATTACCTTTATTTTTTAAGGGCAACTGAAGTTGATTCCCTCCCCAGCTCTGCTGGTCTCTCTCTTCCTCTCTCTGTGTTAGAGACTAAACCACATTATGCACTACATGATACTTTATGCATTTTTATACATATCACAGCCAAGTAAGTGATATGCCAGCTCTGTATAAAGATGTAGATTTAGTCATTAGAGAAAAAAATCCTTTAAAATATTACAACAGTAATAGCACAACTAAATACAACTGATCATTTATAAGTAGTTTTAATGATTTTTCACTTTTTGCATATGATAATCCCCAAAGTAGCATTCAAAAATATAGTGCAAAATATTTATTCATTTTATTTACAAATAAAATGTGCAGTTCAGCTTCTTATCCTCAGCAAATGTTATTCTTCTATGTGATGGAGATTATGAGAAACATTTGAAGAAACAAAAAGCTCATTTTAAACCTAAGAACAAAGATCTTTCTTTCAGTTGAGTTTTTGTTGAAATTAATTAGTATTAGTTTTTTAAAAATTGTTTTCAGCTGAAAAAAACCCGAAGTCCAAGACAACATTGAAGAATTACAGAGGAAAGAATGTTTTTTTAAAACCATAAAGTTAATTTTGCTGTGACAATCATAATGTAAAGTTCTTGTCTATATAGAATAAGATTTCTTTTTGCAGCTAAAACAAAGAATCTTTACAATGTAATGCTTTTTCCCTTCTTACTCTACAAATTGCCTTTAGGGGAAAAAGCATTCTCGCATCTTCCTTTCCCTCTGATGAAACAACAGATGCTTTGGTTAAAGAGCAATTCCTGTGCAACAGTGTTTTAACTTGCAAGGCAGTACTCCTTTATTAAGTTGGTAGAATTCCACTAGCTGGATGAGATCAGTAAATCTGGTATGACCATCATCAAGGGTATAGAATAGCTTCCCATCATCTTCCAACTGTAAAAACGGAAAAACAAGATAGAGTAAAATCCTCTTTTGCTTTCGTATTTCTTCCCAGTTGAATACTTGTTTCAGAAGTCTTCTTGTAGACCAAGATATTCATAATCTTATGACTACTGAGAGAAGGAAAAATGCAGTGGTCATTCATAGCAAGATCAAAAATAAACAACAGAAAAATAATGCATTCTTTAACTTCCCCTTTAAGTTAGGTTCATGCCTAAAAGGAAAGAACAGTTAAGTAAGTACAGGAATATTCTTTCTACACTAACAATATTACTTTATGCCTTTGCTGTGGAATGATAGCTGGAGTTAACATGAACATTGAGTTTTTACAGAGTGACAAGAAACAAACAAGTTTCAACTTACTCATAGATTTCCACCTTTGCTCCCTTCATGGTCTGTGTAACTGCTACATTTTATATCACTTATTTTGGAAGGTGCAATGAGGCTATACACTAGTGCATCGGTGTACTGGATAATATTTGCTATACAAGAAACTGCCCATCACAAAAGTAACATGCTTGATGTAATAATGTGTTCTTTGTTGTAGGAGAAAGAACTGCTGCAGCTCCAAACGCATGTATGAGCATAGATACAGGAGAGAAAGTAGAAACTACAAAACATACCTTGAAAGATTACTTTTGACTTTTAGATGCTTAAAATTCTACAATCAGTATTTCCCTACTGTAGGCTACTGAACATTAGCTCTTGCATAATTTGTCTTGCATTAGTGACTACATACTGTCTCAATTTGTTTCCTCTACTGCTCATATGTCTAAGATCAAGAAGCCTCAGTGCAATAGTGACTAATCAGTATTAATGTAAATAGAGGGTAAAAAAAGCTATTTAAACTACTTTAAAAAGAAAAGGGAAAAAAGATACCTTACAAGATGAGACAGTAGTGAACAGAAGATCCTGAAGTAGGGCTAGAGCAGAGTAGCTTTGCTCTCTTACCTGTAATTAATTTTTCTAATCTGAAGCAGCTGTTAAACTGCTTATGACTCCTGGTTATTCTACCCCTTTCTACTATGTCTGGAAGTAGTTTGTAAATTCTCTATTCTCAGACTTTGGTCAGTCCAGGTCAAACACTGCTAGTTAAGGAATTAACACGTGTGTGCATGTGTAAACTCCTGCGCTCCAGCCAAGAACCTGAAAATGAATTATCATCCATCAGACTTTCTTCATGCCAACACACTGAAGACAAGGAAGAGTGGACAATTCAGATGTCTGTTGACCAGAATTTCATTTTTCTTATTTTTCCCCCTCCAAGTTAATCCCAAACCTTGAAGTGAATACCAGACACATTGCTAATTCTAAAACAATCAATATTTTGCAAAGTAAAAACTCGCATCAAAGTTACATTGCCCAGGAATCTAACCACTTCTGCAAGCTAAGAAGGCTGTTATGAGAGAACATTTACTGGAAAAAGACAGTCCTAGAAATGTGTATCAATTCTTCCTCTTCGCAGGGACTACAGAACAGCAAGTTTCAGGACAGACTACACTGAAGTCAACTTGTATCACCTCAGAGTAGTAAGGGTGAAAAAATACATTTAAGTTATCAAGTTCTCCAGTTTTCACAGTACGGGATCCCAAACGTATCCCAAAGGTTTTCTTTTCAACTTTTTACAATCAATTCCCTGCCAGCCACCTGCTAAACCTGTTGCACATGTTACCACTGTTAACATGATGCAGCTGTCAATGTGCAGGAAGCTTGAACTGGCAGGTTGCATGCCCTTTCTGAAAGGATACATTTTTAAATGCAGTATAACCTGAAGCAACCTAAAAAGTAAGAGAAACATAATTCATTTGGAAACTGAATGATTTTTAACTTGTAAAAAGACCTTCTAAATGCCATTTATTTATTTACATTTAATAGGACAGTTTATCTTCTCTTCCCAATGACTGGAAAAAGTCAATACTTCAGAAGAACAGGAAGATTTGAAGTTCAAGAAAGGTAACCTTGATCTCCAACTAATAAGCTACCAATTTACTGCAGTAATACAAAATGCCATGTTTCTTAGAAAATGATAACTTCATTTAGAAGATCAGCAGCAACTGGAAGAAAAACCTTTTTCCCCTCAGAAAAATACTTTTCTGAACTCCTTTAAGAGTATTGTTCTAGCAAAAACAGAGCATGCAGTAAGTTGGGGTACTCAGAATGGCATGAGGGGTACTGAACTTTTGGACAAGTTTATATTCTCTTATAGGAAAGATGGGGACAATCTTTTTAGTAGAGACAGCAGTGACAGGATGAGGGGTAATGGTTTTAAACTAAAACAGGGTAGGCTTAGGCTGGATATAAGGAAGAAATTCTTTACAATGAGGGTGGTGAAACATTGGAACGGGTTGCCCAGAGAGGTAGTGGAGGCCCCATCCCTGGAAACATTCAAGACCAGGTTGGACAGGGCTCTGAGCAGCCTGATCTAGTTAGCGGTGTCCCTGCTCACTGCGGGGGGGTCGGACTAGATGACCTCCAGGGGTCCCTTCCGACCCAAAACTTTCTATGATTCTATGATTCTATGAACTTGACTGGAAATTAAATGACAGAAAGGAATTGAAATATGCCTATGTTTGGGGAACTAACACTTCCCATATTCTCTCTCTGGATTAAGTTGTTCTCGTTACAGATTTATTTTTTCTGGTAACTAGCACAGGATAAAATGCTTTATTTTAAAAATAATCCACAAAATTTTCCTTCAAGGAAGACAGGTTTTGCACTCAAGTGGTACAGGTCTTCCAGACCATCAGCATGGAAAAACTGACCCAAGTCTGTAGACAATCTATGTCAAAATAAAGAATTGCTGGTTCCTCCGAAGATCCTACAACAGGAGAGCAAGGTTTTAGCATGCATGTATATGATTAATTCCTCAAATGCACTGCTTACATCTGCAGAAGAACTTTAGAATTGATTGGATAATTTTTTTGAAGGGAAGAGGAGAATCATCCAGCTCAGAGGAAACTGAAGATAACTGCAGCTTCCTGCTACATCTGCTCTTAGAGAAGAGAGGGGCTGTTTCCTGATAGGGAAA